TATTGTTAACATGATTACATTAGTCATCTTATTTGATTAATGCTAATACTTGTAAATCTAAGAAAATGAAAGGAAATGAATAAGATAAAAGTTAACTAAGAAAATGAAAGGAAATGAAAGACATAAACTTGATATTAATGAAAGCAAAGCATAAGCAATACAAAAAATACAAAGAGAGAAAGCAAGAGCATGATCTTGATCTGGACACCAAGATGCCTAAATGCATGGCAAATGCCTCCTTTTATAGGCCAAAATTGGGAACTATTGATTTGATGACTAATTGATGAGTTGGTGGCCAACTCTTGACTTGGTGACAATCCTTATCTTCTCTTGTCTGCCCAAAACGTCATTGATAATGTCAAAATTGGAGCCACTTGAAAACATGAAAGTTATAGGCAATTGTCTCAGCTATGCTGTGTAAAAACTTCAGCTCATTTGGACTTCTAGAACTCTAGATATGGCCAAAATACTGAACAGTGCTCGGGTATCTTATATTATTAGATATATTATTATAAAACATGCTTTAGTTAAGGAGTTATTGATACTTCAAGTTTTGCAACAACAAAGAAGCCCGTAGCTTTCCTCCAGCCCGAGCACTGTTTAGTATTTTGGCCATATCTAGAGTTCTAGAAGTTCAAATGAGCTGAATTTGTTACACAAGAAAGCTGAGACAATTGCCTACAACTTTCATGTTTTCAAGTGGATCCAATTTTGATGTTATCAATGATGTTGTGGGCAGACAAGAGAAGATAAGGATTGTCACCAAGTCAAGAGTTGGCTACCCACTCATCAATTAGTCATCAAATTAATAGTTTCCAATTTTGGACTATAAAAGGAGGCATTTGCCATGTATTTAGGCATCTTGGTGTCCAGATCAAGATCATGCTTTTGCTTTTTCTCTTTGTATTTTTTATAATGTTTATGTTTTGCTTTCATTAATATCAAGTTTATGCCTTTCATTTCCTTTCATTTACTTAGTTAACTTTTATCTTATTTATGTTCTTATTTTGTTTATTTATTTTTCTTTCTTTCATAATGTCTAGCTAAGTTTATTATGTCAAGGTGAAAAGGTTACACTAATGGTGTAAGAATAAGTATAATGTAAACTTAATATGGACTTTAATGTTTGATACTAACATGTTTTATATTTGTTATCTTGTTCACTCTTTAATACTTTGCTTGTTAAATAACTAATCTTGATTTATGTTGTATAACACTTGGTACAACAAATGCTTGGCACTTTCATAGTTCATACTGTATGGTATAACCGACACCTGAGCTATGAAAGGAACTTCATTTGTTGTTAACATAAATTATAATCATGAATGCTTGACGAGATTTACAAGTATTAGTTGACACGACTAAAAGATTGATGTCTTCTCCCAAGTGTAGAGTGTCGAAGTAATAAATAACCCGGCAAGATCGGGGTTGAACTACAGGGAGGTTAATTGTACAAATTATAAACAAGAATAATACAACAACAATAACAATAACAATAACAACAACAACAACAATAATAATAGTAGTAGTAGTAGTAGTAGTAGTAACAATAATAATAATAATAATAATAATAGTAATAATAATAATGAAAAAGAAGGAGAAGGAGAAGAAGATGATAAGAACTTTGAGATGGAATATTAATGTAAGGATAAAACAATGATAATAACAAATGTCAAGGTTAGAGGATCCACTGATGGTATGTCAAACAAGTATAGTATAAACTCTTATTATTCAATTGGAAACCACACACAAAGGAGGTTTCAATCAAATTATAGATTGTTAACATGATTACATTAGTCATCTTATTCAATTAATGCTAATACTTGTAAATTTCGTCAAGCATTCATGATTATAACTTATGTTAACAACAAATCAAGTTCCTTTCATAGTTCAGGTGTCGATTATACCATACAGTATGGGCTATGAAAGTGGTGAGCATTTGTTGTACCAAGTGTTATACAACATAAATCAAGATTAGTAATTTAATAAGCAAATTATTAAAGAGTGAACATGATAACAAATATAAAACATGTTAGTATCAAACATTAAAGTCCATATTAAGTTTACACTATACTTATTCTTACACCACTAGTGTAACCTTTTCACCTTGACATAATAAACTTAGCTAGACATAATGAAAGAAAGAAAAATAGATAAACAAAATAAGAACATAAATAAGATAAAAGTTAACTAAGTAAAGGAAAGGAATTAAAATGCATAAACTTGATATTAATGAAAACAAAGTATAAACATTACAAAAAATACAAAGAGAGAAAGCAAGAGCATGATCTTGATCTGGACACCAAGATGCCTAAATGGATGACAAATGCCTCGTTTTATAGGCCAAAATTGGGAACTATTGATTTGATGACTAATTGATGAGTGGGTGACCAATTCTTGAATTGATGACAATCCTTATCTTCTCTTGTCTGCCCAAAACGTCATTGATAACGTTAAAATTAGAGCCACTTGAAAACATGAAAGTTGTAGGAAATTGTCTCAGCTTTCTTGTGTAAAAAATTCAGCTCATTGGACTTCTAAAACTCCAGATATGGGCCAAACACTGAACAGTGCTCGGGCTTCTTTGTTGTTGCTACAATTTGGACTTGAAAATTGTCTTTTTAGATCTTGGACTCCATATGAAAGTTGTAGGCCTATGTCTTATCTTTCCATTCATATAAATTGGACCTAAATCTGAGATCTACAACTCTAGATATGACCTAATTACCGAACAGTGTTCTGGTATGGACTGCACCGGTATCTCTTTTCTAAGTTTGATCATCTCTTTGCCCTTGCAATTTAAGTTTTTAAAGTTATCAATCAATTCTTTTATTTATGAGATAGGCCTGCATTTAAAATGAACATTTACCATAAATTAAATGTATCTTATATTATTAGATATATTATTATAAAATATGCTTTAGTTAAGGAGTTATTGATACTTCAAGTACAAAATGATGATATAAAATCATGATAAAAATATACTTTTAAATACTAATCAATTAACTTGAATTAATTTAAATTATCTTTTTTAATTTTTTATTTTAAACCATTAATTTTTTATTTATTTTTATAAAATTATTATGAAATCATAATCTTTATAAGTTAAGCTAAACTGATGCCTTCGTTGCTAGTAAATTTAAACAAATAAATAAATCCATCCCTTGAATGTCTCTCTCCCTCTCAACAGGAAAAACAAGAGCAAAAGAAGGATCTAATTCAATATAGTGAAAAATAAGAAGATACGCACCTCTGAGGCTGAGCTCGTTCACAGTCAAAAATAATAAATTCTCGATCTGAAAACAAAAAAAACTACTTGTTCTAGGGCTTGACAGCAATGGCGATGGCAGCTGCTTTTAGACGCGAAGGAAGGAGATTTGTCTCCCCTCAACCAATCACCGCCGTTCGATCCTCCCTCATTCCTGAGTATGAATCAATCAGACCTATCTAGTCTTCATTATTTGACTTTCTTTCAGTTCTCTAATCTCTCCCTCCCTCTGTGTTTGCTGTCTGTTTGGCTGGTTGCAAAATGGGAGACTAATTTAGTTATTTAAGAAAGAAAGAAAGAAAGAAAAGAAATAAATTGTTCGATAGAATATCACGGTGTCATATTCTCTTCTACTTGATTCTTAGTAAACCTGAGAAAGATGAATTTGTTTGTTTTTTTGGGTATTCTTTTTCATGTTAAAATAATGTTATGGAAAGGAAGTGGCTTTTGCAGTTTTAATTAAATTGGTGTTGTTATTGACCTTGACTATAAAAATGAGTTTCTTAGTTATCTTATACATATGAAAGATGAAGTTGGTCTTCATCGTTTCTTCTAATGGGTTTGTGTTATTACGACCAGCCAAGTAGCCACTTGTTTGTGATTCCAGTGCAATTCATGAATACCCAATTTGATTCCACTGAGATTCCTGGCTGCAGTAGAGCCTTGTTTGTTAAAAATGATTACTTGCTCTCATCTTGTAAAAGTTGTTGTTTAGCTCTTCAATTAGTTATGTAGCTGAATACCAGCATTCAATTTCAGTCATAGAATTGCCCGTTCCCTGATTGGATATGGTGAATCCATAGTTTTTAAATATGGTGGAAATATGGGGATTGCTCTTTGATCTTTTGAATCCATAAACTTTTTATTTAAAAAAATGCAGGTTCTTAGGAACAATGAAAGAACATAAAAAAACTTGAATCTATTTATTTATTTATCCTGCAATGATTCCCACTTTCCTGATTGCTTATTTTAGATGCTTTTAGAAAATTCTTGTACTTTTCATATTGGAATAAGAATAATTTTCTCTGGATTCACAGGGACCATGCCCCTCTTGGATTACGTTCCATTTCAACTCAAGTTGGTAAGGATGTAGCCATTTGATATATGATGCCTCTCCTAAGATTTTCTTTCTTGCTACATCTTGTGATATTAAGTCACTGAAACCAGAAACTGTGGGCGATTCATTGTGATGTATTTTATGCAGTTAGAAATCGAATGAAAAGTGTCAAGAATATTCAGAAAATCACGAAGGCAATGAAGATGGTTGCAGCCTCAAAGCTGCGATTAATTCAAACTAGAGCAGAAAATTCTCGTGGCCTGTGGCAGCCATTTACTGCACTTCTTGGAGATGCTCCTAGTATGTTCATTGAGAAGTTTATATCTATCCACTGTTTTGTAAACTTACATCTACTTTCTATTTATCTGTTCCAATTATATTCAACTTTCTGATTAAAAATGTAAGGGTCGTGTTTTTCTGGTCTCATAAAAACAACTATACATTGGTTGCATTGGTTCATGTTGTGCTGAGGACATGTTATAACAATGTTTTTCTGGTTTATTTTGGTCATTCTGCTGCAACTCTCACAAAAGTCTGGTTCAGAATGCTGCAATGCTTTCGTACAGTGGTTGATTATCATTTTGTACTCACAAGGATACATGGTTTAAATGTTTTTAATTATTATCTGGGTGTTGTTTGGATGCATTTATTATTAATATGGTCTTTTGCTCATTCATGGAATGGAAATTTGTTTTGAGCAAACCCTAGTAACTACTTCAAATAATAGAGCTTTATCTTTCTGTTTACTGAAGTCAGAATTTTATATAATTCATGGTGGTAGAATGTGAGAGCAAGGTATTGCAGAAAAAAAGCTTGGTTTAAAGTTGAGAAAATGTTAGCTCCAGAAAAATTGCAGATCTATTTCTTTATTTTATTTTGAATAAGAATCTAAGAGATGTGAGAAATTACCTTTGCAACATTTCAAAATCCAGGACTCTATTAACCTCATGAATGAAAAAAATGGTGGGGGAATCCATTTCAAATGCTTGATTAGAATACTGATTCTGAAAACGTTAATTCTAGCAGACATGAGGTTCATCTCTTGCTATTGTACTAGATCCTTTTGTACTCTGTTTCTTTCTATCTCTGGAATACTTCTTATTTTAGGCCTTTTTTTGGCTGTTATTTTGCTTGCTAGGTGTTGATGCAAAGAAGAATGTGATTGTCACTGTATCCTCAGACAAAGGTCTGTGTGGCGGAATTAACTCTACAGCAGTCAAGATCAGCAGGGCCTTTAACAAGTTGACATTAAGTAGTTTTTTTTCACTTCTTGCAACTGAACTTTTTTGGGTTTTTGGCTTTGGGCTTGGGTGTTTTGAAATCTCAAGTATTTTTGTATACTGCCATAGGTCCTGAGAAAGAAACAAAATATGTCATATTGGGAGAAAAGGCAAAGGCTCAGTTGATACGTGATTCAAAAAAGAACATTGCAATATGCATGACAGAGTTGCAGAGGAATCCTCTGAATTATACCCAGGTTAGTTGGTCATCTTTCCTGAACTAACATTTCTAAGTAAAAAACCTCTTTCTGTCTCCTTACATGCACATGCACAGACTTTTCAAGAGTTTTAAATCCTGAGTTGGTTTAATGAACAAGGAAAACAAAAATCATTGCTTATGCCCAATTTGTCATGGTTTGAGCTCATGTCTTCTTTATGCATCACTCTATAATGTTTACTGTTAAATGGACCTGGTAGTAAAGTCTCTTGTTGCACTGATTGCTGTTATGATTTTCCTTTGATGGGTTCTTTCATGCTTTTGTTGAAAGCCATTGCAGTTATTTATTTTGGAAGGTGAGGGGAAAATAAAGGGAATGGAAAGTGAGATAAAAGGTTTCCCTTGGGCCCTCAAAAGCAAACCTCTCCATTTTGAAGAGAATTGTGTGTGATTTGAGGGGCTGGGGTTGAATCAAATATAACATTACCAGCTTCATCCTTGATTTAATTTAAAATCTTACAATATGAAAAATGTTAAAGACATTAAAGTAATTTTACTACCAACATTTTCTCCCCCTTTTCATTTTATTTTACCCAGAGAACGAAAAAACAACTTTCCCTCCATTTTGTTGTATTTTCTTCCCTTAAAAGGTAAAAAGAAATATCTTGTTTTCTTTTATCTAATTTGTTTTGCATAAATTTCCTTCCTCTCCCAAACAAAGTGTAATCTTACAGCTGCCAATAGGTTACATACAGTTACTAGTCTTACAGAGTAATGTTAAATATAAAATTTCTCTCACAATTCCTTTTGAAATTTTTGTATCTCAGGTCTCTGTTCTTGCAGACGACGTCTTAAAGAATGTGGAATATGATGCTTTGAGAATTGTCTTCAACAAGTTCCAGTCAGTGGTCTCATTTCTACCAACTATGGCAACTGTATTATCACCTGAGGTGATTCAGAGTGTACCTGCAATAATATGTATGCATTTTGGATTTTTTTTCAAGGATTGTGGTGTATGATTGAATTTTTTAATTAGGTTGTGGAGAGAGAGGCTGAATCTGGTGGTAGGCTTGGTGATCTTGATTCCTATGAGATTGAAGGTGGTGAAACAAAGGGTGAAATTCTTCAGAATCTTGCCGAGTTCCAATTTTCTTGTGTAAGTGCTGCCTAAATCTTTTCTTTTCTGAACAGTTTCTGGGAGTGAGTCCGTTTCTAAAAGCATGTATGGACTACAAACCTAGACTAGAAACATAAAGAGAAGTAGTTCAACCCTGATTATGCCATTTTGGGCTCTAATAAGAACTGATTCTAGTTTGTAAGTGTTAGTGTAGTGATACAAATTTAGTTGATCAGTTGAGCAGTGGTTTATTCAACCTCATATCTAACTCAATTTTCTTATTCTTTTTTTTTATGCCTGTACATTTTGAGAATCCACTACAGTGTGTTGTTTTATTTTGAGGCCTGTTTCTTACACAGAATCTTATGATGTTTCTATGATTTATCTGGTAAATTTTCAAATTTCTTCAGGTTCTGTTCAATGCGGTAATGGAGAGCGCTTGCAGTGAGCAGGGTGCTAGAATGTCTGCCATGGATAGCTCAAGCAGAAATGCTGGAGATATGCTTGATCGGCTGACACTGACTTATAACAGGTCTCTCTCTCTCTCTCTCTCTCTCCCCCCCCCCCCCCCCCCTTCTCCTTCTCTCTCTGCATGCACACACATTCCAGGAATCGTACTTTGCCTTGAAAGTTTAGTGAGGGAGTAATGAATGGAAAATATACCCAGGTGATATATTGGTTTGGTACCCTTTTCTTTTTTTTTTTTTGGGGGGGGGGGGGTTTGGGGGTGGGGATGCTCGGTGTATTGATGAATTGGTGAGAATTGTTAGAATGCTGAATGCTGTAAGTGGTAAGAGAAAGAGATAAAATTATTCCGGGTATGTTTCCTTGAGAGAGAAAAGATATACCCCAAATATTCCCCCCACCCAAAAAAAAAAAAAAAAAAAGGTTAAAAGTTAACAATTACTCTTGTGAACAATCCACCTCAACTTATAGCATTGTACCAAACACATCGTACTTGAGAAAAATGGTGAAATCTCTTTGTTTGCTTTGACAAAACTGAGTTGATTGGTTTAAAATATTATTTCAGTTCCACATCATACACGGAGTTGTTGGGATTTTGTTTTTCTTCTTTTACATATGATGGTTTGGAGCTAAGCAAATTTGTATTGTTCTTGAATCTGTCCTCTCACAACTAATTTCTGTAATTGTTTGATATTTTTGTATCAGAACTCGTCAAGCATCTATCACAACAGAGTTGACTGAGATTATATCTGGAGCAGCTGCGCTTGAGGGTTAAAATTGAAGATATCATACCTTGGGTTTTTCAGATAGTGATGAATAAGATTAATAGCAAAGGCTTGGAGCTTCAAGATGCTAGCTTTTGAGATTTTTGTTGAGACTATAATAATCCCCCGGCATTGTTTTCTGTTTCTGGGAATTAAAAAATAAGTTATACGGTGGTTATGGTTTACTTTTATCTTTGGTTTCATTTATTTTTCAGCTCTTTTTCTTTGTGGTTCTGGCTTGAACACCTGAGAACTGTTGTAATAAATTGGAGTGTAATTTTGTCCGACACTGGTTGATTGCTCTACAATGCTAATGAATAGAGAGATTTAGCTAATAGAACATCGTTTGCTTATCGGAAACTTGGAAGCATGGCTACTGTAATGATAAGATTAATCAGTGATTAAAGAGAGGTTTTTTTTTTTTTTTTTGTTTAAATTCCCATGAACAATTTAAACACGATGATGCATTTTGGTGCTGAATTCGATGTATTTGGTAATTGCAAGAATATTTTGAGTGTTGGAGGATGCGTCATACCTTGATTTCAACGGATTATATGCAGAACGCAGCAAACAGTGGCTCTTCATTTCTAGTTTTTGGATTGTATTTTTGAAAAATTTTAATTTATTAGTTTTAAATTATTTTTTAATATTATTTTTGATTGTTTTGATATGTTATGTTAAAAATAATTTTTTAAAAAAATATTTTTTTAATATAATTTCAAATAAAAATCCCTTCAAAAAGTCATATCTATCACTTCCAAAGAAGAAGAAAAATGTAGATAGTGTAGCATAATTGTGATATATTTTCATGTATTTTATATTTTGAAATTATAAAAATTTAATTTAAAATTACTAAGAAGATAGATTTATTTTATATATTCATTTCTTCAACAAAAACGTTCCATCTTTTATATATTTATTTCTTGTATTTAGAAACACTAATTAGACAAAACTGAAACATTTGATTCTTTTTAATTTCTTATATGTTTGTGAGTGTTTTTGCAAGATTTTGAATGAATTTTCTTTATAAAGATATGATATTCTAAAATAACTAGACAACAATCCATTTCAAATAAAAATGAAGTGTATAAAAATAATCCAAACTCTAATAAATCAAGTTATTAAACTTTTTTTTAAAATATTTTTTGACATTAAAAATCCTCAGATCATTATTCTCATTATTCTCTGGAACCATAGTTATTAACTAGTATAGTTATCCATGTATTGCTTAGAGAATTTTTAACCTGATCTAATAGATTAACTTAACTTGATTACTTGCTCACTTAGATCTAGTTAACTAATATAGTTGTCTACACATTATTTAAAGAACCTTTTAATAGTGTTATTAAACTCGATTTGGCTTAACAGGTCAACCTAGTAACTTGCTGACCTGAGCTTGAACTTAGTTTGGGTTTCAAATTATATTGGATTGGAGTTAATATGATCAACTCGACAGATCAACATGCAACTTAGTCAAACTCATCAAAATCCAACTAGACTTAAAAAAAAATTCAAAACAAAGCTGTTTTAATGTTTTTTCTTTTTTATATTTAAAACAATGACATTTTGAATTAGTTTAGGTTAACACGCCCAACCTTACATCCATGTCATGGGCTTGAGTGAATTTAATATCTTTATCTTTTGAAATCTATTTTTTCTTTAATTATATGATGATGAAAATAGACATTAGCAATAAAAATGACAAATAAAATTATAGAGGAGAAATATATTTTATCCATCAAAATTATTTTTTTCTAATTCATGTAATTTTATTTTATTTATTTTGAAAAAAAGAGATTTTTTTATTAGCATTGATTAATACTTAAAAGTGCATTTTTATTAAGGTTTTATATTAGCATTTTGCACTTGAAGTATCAATAATTCCTTAACTAAAACATGTTTTATAATAACCGGTCTAATATTATAAAATATATTTAATTTATGGTAAATGTTTATTTTAAATGCAGGCTTATCATATAAATCACAGGATTGATTGATAAGTTCAACTACTAAAATTGAGAAGACAAAGAAAAGGTAAAACTTAGAAAACTGATGCTAGTTTGGTCTAAATTGAAACACTGTTCATTCATTGGGTCATACATAGAGCTGTAGTTCTTAAATTTCAATTTGGTTTATATGATGATTAGTACTTAAAAGTGCATTTTTATCAAGGTTTTATTTCATCATTTTGCACTCGAAGTATCAATAACTCCTTAACTAAAGCATGTTTTATAATAACGTATCTAATAATATAAGATACCTTTAATTT